GGAGTGAGATAAACCCTTCTAGGTTACACCCTAGTGACCCACCTCTTCCAACTCTTCACAGAAGTAAGCCATTAGCCCCTATAATCCACTCACTTTCCAAGGCTCCACCTATGAGCACAGGAGGCTCTTAGAAGACATCTAGATTCTGACCATAACATTTTAACCTTGGACCCCAAAATACTCATGTGAATCTTTTTATGCAAAATATATTTATTCCATCTCTTAAGGGTTGCCAAAATCTGAACTGTTTCAGCATTGCTAAAAAGTCAAAGTCCAAGGTATCCTCTGAGGCTTAAGACAAACTTAGCTTAAAATATCAAAAAGAAGTTAAACATTGTCAACATAAATGACACAGGGTTAATATTTCCATTCCAAAGGGGAGAAATCAGCAGAAAGATGAAAACCAATGAGACCAAAACAATACTCAACCACTACATGGCAAATGTCTACATGCCCAGGACCCACAGCAAGTCGCAGTGTGTATGTGAACTCCAAAGGGTACGAGTGGCCTTGCACCTACAGCATTGCAGGTGACTGCACGCCTCATGGCTTCTCTTTTGGGTGGACTTTGCTTACCCCTCAATTTCTGCAGAAGATGTATATTCATGGTTTCTCCAAGTTTCTGGAATTTCCTCTGCATGTGAAGCTTCACTTTCACAGGTTTGCATACTGCCTTTTCAGAGACACACTGCCTGGCCTCCCAAGCCTTCTTCTTAAATCTATGTAGAAGCCTCTCTGACCCCAAAACTCTTATAATCTGCAAGTAGACGATGCCAAGATCTGTCACCATCTTGAAAAATAGCCAGCTCCTTTTTAATGATAACTACAGAGGCTTCTGAGTGACTGAATGTCTGTGTACTGTGAGCTGAATCATGGAAACCAATTTCCTGTTTGGCATCTAGGGCAGTCTTCTCAAGCAGGGCACCCTCAGGTTTTCTTTTCAAAGAGAAATATTTTTGTTTTCTGTCATTGAACCTACGAAGGAAGGAGTCTTATTGGTCTTCACATGCTCTCAAGTCATTTTTCGTACTCTGATATAAAAGAGTGGCTTGTCTTTATTATTCATTCTGTTAGCAACCAAGGTCTTCTTTGCTTCATCTTTGCAGGCTTTCTGTTGAAATATAAAACTTTTTAAATCACTCACCTGTGCCATTTGCTCTTATTCTCAATATAGAACTGGCTAAATGCCCCTAAAAGTACCCCAAGCCAAAGACTAAATCTTCTGCTTTGTATTTGCCTCAGCCTGACCCATTAGTCTGCTGTCCTTAATCCAAGTCTCCCACAAATATCAGGACATAAATGAAATGTGGACAAATTTTCTGCCAGAGTATAACACCAATGGCTTGGAGGACAACTGCCAATGTAGTTCCTGTTGTCAACTGAAACCTCTTAAGCTTTGTCTTTAAAATATGCTTTTTAATGAGCAGTCTGGTACTCTGCAGCTCTGAACAGAATGTTCCATCCAAGCCTGCTTACAGTGATCTAGGTTTGCTTCTTAGGCTGCATCGCTAAGCAGTCCCAAAATCCTCCCTCCAACCAGTTCCACAGTTTCTGAACCAGGTGTTCAGATAACAGTCACTTCTCGGGTACTAATTTCTATCTTAATCACTTTTTCAACAAGAAGGTATAATGTGGATACCCATAATGTAAAGAAAAAGACACACATTCTGGCTCATGTTTCAATCCATGTTTGACAAATGAAGGGCAGGATATTGTGGCAGAGGATCATGACAGAGAAGAGCTGAGAGAGAGAGAGAGAGAGAGAGAGAGAGAGAGAGAGAGAGAGAGAGACAGAGACAGAGACAGAGACAGAGACAGAGAAAGGAAAAGAGCTGGGGAGGGCATAAGTCCCTCTCGGCCGTGCCTCTCAGGAGCTCCCTCTTCTGATCTGACTGCATCTCCTAATATGAAGTCAGCCATAAGACCCACAGTCTAATTACTTTCTAACGGTCCTACCTAGAAGCAGTGAGGCTTTTGGAAGACACCTAAATATAAACCATAACAAGAAGAAGTGATTAGGATAAATACACCTTCATCAAGGTAAATATGACTACAAAATACTCTCATTTATTTTTATATCTTATTAGTCTTTACAATATTGATTTTCTAGGAAAAATTATACTTTAAATTATAAACCTTAGTTTATCATATTATCACCAATTATGATTTCCAACCTAAACTTTGTCATATGCAAGTGTGCTTCTTACATTATTGAATATTTTTAATCATGTTTTTTATGATTTTTCTTTGTCTCATGCTTAGAAAATTTCTGAAAGATTATTTTAAAATAGCAATATTCTTAATCATTGTACTTGTATCATAATAATTTCTAAAAATTCTTATATAAGGAATTAAATACCATTTTAAAGTCAGCAATAATGACCAAGAATGTTCTTCTACATTTTAATGCAAAGTTCTTTTACTTTTGACTCCTCCCACTAAAAAGCATAAAACTCAAAGAGCTTTCAGTGTGAAATTAAATAGTCAGTATTAAAACACAAAGGGAAAAAGAAACACGAATAAATAAACAAAAGCCCATTGCTCCATTTTGTATATTAGTACAATAAATCAACATTCTAGAAACAGATGCTACTAGGTAATAATTTCTCTTTTGATGCTAGGCCATTAAATGTGATTTTTGTTTTGAAATTAAGTACATACAGCAAGGATAATGAGAAATGGAAACATAGATTTCATCTTGCTGCTATTAGGTAAAACAAAATTGAATGGATATTGTCATAAGAAATGGAGATTGAGCAGAAATCTGACAAAGGCAGAGAGAATAAGCCATGACTGTAAATCTAATGAGAACCATTAGTGGGGACTTGGCCTGAGCCCCCAATCTCCTAAAATGAGTTATAGCAAAGACTGAAGCAAAAGAAACAATGTAACATGGTTTTGGAGAATCCAAGAAGATCAAAATTCCCTAGGAGCTAAGACAAAGACTTCCCTATAACACCCATATTTATTAGGTTTTCAAACAAAAAAGAGGGACACCTGAGGTAAAGGCAGGAAACTGAGAAGGACCTTGGGAAGTTTAGAACAAATATCCAAGTAGTAATTTTTGCCAGTTAAGAGAACTGCCTTGTCTCTAAGGATGACATTTACAGCAAGAGCCACAGGGCTGCAGCTGCAGTCTTTATTTTAGGAATCAGAATGAGAACCAGATGTCTTCAGCTGCGGCTTGATCTTGCCCTCTGAGGTGTCACAGTGTACCAGACCAATAGGCTTCTTGTGTGAATGTTAGTGTGGAGAGTAACACTTACTGCATTCCAGCCACCAATCTTTGAGCAAGTCACCTAGGCCTGGGACAGACTAGTAAGTAAATGTAGAAAGCTAATGGATTAACTAACTAAATATTGCTCAGAGCTGTTTTGTAGTAGCCTCCATCAAACCATTAAAACTGCAGTTCTCCAGAATAAAATATACATCCCACAGTGAAATGTAGAAAGTTGTTACTAATCCAGAACTGAATGTATGGGACTGCGTATAGAACTTCTCCATCTAGGTGGGTCCTGGAAAGAAGGAAAGTTGAGCAGAAGACAGAATTTACAATACAAACAAAGCAAAGTCTCAGGTAAAAACCGTGCTTATGTTGGAGTTTGGGAAGCAGCAATAATACTTTATGAGGGTTTTATAGCTTTCTGATGTTTTTCATGGCTAATGGAAAGTAAAGCCTAAACTAACTCATAAAAAGTTCTTGCTAGCAGAAAACACAACTCCAGATTATTCCTTATTCCTTACAACTTTCTACAAATAGCTCATCCAAAAAAAAAAATCACCTGACTAAAACATGAATTTTCACTGAGGTACCTAATGAGGGTCAGTGTAGCAGGAGATGGTTCCTTACTGCACCCCCAGGCCCCCAGCCAATAAACTCCAGTTTGTTAGTAGCCCAGGTAATAGTTTTGGTTAGAGTCCCTGTTACTTTTGTTTCTTAGAAACATCTGATCATATTCTAAAAACCTATCCCCGATTGACAAGCCATTCTGCCTCTGAACTTCCTGCTTGCTTATCCCAGATAAGCCCTAGACCACCAGAGATCAGAGTCTGATAGTTTTAAGAATGATCTTATCAGTGCCTGTCAACATCAATAAATCTGCCTCCAGTTCCTGGCTGTTTTGGCATTTCTGTTTGCTATTGCAAAATATGAACACACTAAAAGAACATGACAGAAAATGACTGGAAAAGAAAGCAATGTTTTTAATAAGTCATAATACAAATGATACATTTTCAATTTAATTAAAAATTCTGCACTCATGTTTGTAAATCAAGCATGTAAAGCACATGTAGGAAAGCCAAAGGAATATATAGTGAGAAAAAGGATGAAATAAAATGGTAAGATGATACCTCAAAATACAGGAGGCAAGTTGAAAGAGCATCTAACTATGAAACAATATATAGGTGAAAAAAAGTTAAGATCGTTAATGAATTACAGTACTTTAAATAAAAACATGAGTCCATACTGACAATAATTTTACATAAATAGACCGTTATTTATTATAGAATATCTTACTCTTTCACTCCATGTTATCTATAGGAATCAGAAAAGTGTGTTGGTCAGGTTTCCTGTTATTGCCACCAAACAGCTGATGCTCTCTATGTAAAGGACGAAATGGTTTATTTTGACTCACTGTTGTAGAGAATTCAGTTCATGGTAACCTAGCTCAAAAGCAGAAACATCATTGCAGGAGGGTGTGGGAGAGCAAACTGCTCACATTAAGGGAGCCAGGAAGCAAGGCACACGAAGGTGCACTGGTCAGGGATGTGTCCTCCAGGGCCATGCCCTGCAACACGCCCCACCTCCTAACAACACAAAGAGTGCATTCATGATGCAATCATTTCTCCTGGAGTCCTTAACCTGATCAAATCAACCAAGTGTTACTGTCACAATAAGTAACTATATAGATGACTTACCTAAGTGTGTATGATGGACATCTCCATTTCCAAGGTATATTTAAAGGCTATGTGTTAAACTTCTAAAAACAACTCAACTCGTTCTCACAGCTCCTTTAATTAACTACTTGCATATACAATATTCATATGAGTCACAATAGTTTTGTTTTGTAAAAGTTCAGAAACAACCTTCAATGTTCATCAATGAAAAACTGGCTAAATAAAGTACCTGTTACATCCATCCACCCAATACAGTTTTATACAACCAGTTATATGAATGTGTTATCTCTTTTTGCATTGATATGGAGCAATATTCATTTTGTATTTCTGAATACAAAAATAGCATGTAGAAAAAATAGCACATAGAACAAATTGTAAAACACAGCCTATCACTTGCTTAAAAACTAAAGTATTTTTTTTTCTTTTGGTATCAGGGATTAAACTCACGACCTTGTACTTGCCAAGCAGGTGCTTATGTCACTGAGCTAAAACCCCGGCCCTAAAATATGTTTTGATAAATGCACAGGTTATTCCTAAAATCATTTCCTAATTTGTCTCCAGGAAAGCTATCTCAGTGGTATATTTTATACATAGTTTTATAGTCATTTAATTTTATACTTTATAAAAATAAATAAGTTAAATTAAAGACTAAAAAACAGTATCAGCACAAAAAGTTGAAGGGAATACATTGGCTCATTGTGTAGTCTTGCCGTGGTAGCATGTCATCTTCAGCACCTGGGAAATACATGGAAAGCAATAGGGCTAATTACATTTCCCTGTATATTTAAAAAACTGGAGTAAACAATCCCAGTGGACCCAGTTGCTTTTAAAATGTCCATTAACATTTACTTGAATAAATGCTAATTAATCCCTTAGAATAGGGTTTATCCCTGAAATGTCACCACATATATGTTATCACTACCAGGTTACCTAGTATTTTACTGTTAATTAAAAGAGCATCACATAATTCCCTGCTTTGGCTCATAGCTTGTTTCTAGGCTGGATACACATTCATTGCTACATTCCATAATTGGGAGGCTTTTAACATTTAAGAACACATGTCTAGATAACTAGAATTTTTCAAGACAAACTGAAATCTATTTCTAAATTCTAATCACTAGGATTTAAGTTAGTGTTAATACTTGACCTTTTAAAAATAATTTATTAAAAGCTGCATAAATTAGAAATAATACTTGTATTAGTTAGGGTTTACTAGAGAAAGAGATATAACACATGATATACAAATGTATATGAAAATACAAGATTGGCTTACGATGGTCAGCCACAGAGTTGGATGAGGAAGCGTGCAGAGGGTGTCTGCACACTGATGGCCGAAGGGTCCACCCAAGGGCTGGAGTTTACTGCAGTGTCCCATGCAAGTCTGTATCAGGAGGCTGATGGGTCTATGATGGAACCCTGAAGAACCTACAATGGAAGGCTGAAGAGTCCCAGGCTGAAGCCAAACAGTCTGTGCCCGAAGCCAAGAGATCACGTCCAAACTGAAGACAGAATAGAGCTCCCCCGAAGAACTAGCAATTGGTCCCCTCTTCATTTGCCTTTATTGTGTGGAGGCTGCTCCTCTGGGGTGGGCACAGCATTCACACCATCTGTGCCCTCCTCTTGCACAGTCTGAGAATGTTATGAACGGGGGAACCTGGCCCCTGCTGAATCAATTAGGCTTCTGATCTTCTCACATTGACACAATGAACAACATCATAGAATGGTAACGGCTAGTCCTCTACACTGCTGAGTCGCTGAGTTAAGCTTCTAGACTCCCAAGTCGATACAATGTATAAACCATAACACTGGTTCATTCTAGAATGATTGAAACTAGTGAGGATTAAAATAAAAATTTCATTAATTTGTACATATATATGTATATATTTATGCTAATACACATATACATGAGACATAAACATACCTTTCTGTTACATATAAGACTTGACTTTATGAGAGGTCTCCCCTTTCCCAAAACTTGCGTCTATTAGGAAACTCAATACAAATGTATATTATCATTATTGGAAATATTGGAAATATGAATGCTAGAAGTAAAGATCTTAGAGAAGACAATTCCTTTGTATTTACTGCTGAAAATCTCTCTGATTTCATCACAGAAAGGGCTAAAAAGAGGTGGAATGTGCAATAAATGGAATTGGGGCTATATACATTTCAAAACAAAGAATTTATTTCAATTTTAATTTAAAGGTTGTCTCATTTATGAATTTATTTTACTTTAAAACTTGTTTATAAAAGCATTTCAAGTGAATTCAGCCTCATAATACAGCAGATTAAAGCACACATTTAAGGGTTAAGCGGCCTGAAATTCATATCCCGGAAACTGAGTTCAGATGAATGCAGTCATTTGCTAGCTGTGTAAATTTTTGGCATATTACTTAAATTACTGACAATTCTGTTTCCTTATTTATAAATTGTTAATAATAACACCTGCTTGTAGTATCATAAAATTAAATGAGTAAAAGCCCATGAATGCTTAGAGTAATACTCAAAAATGATAGCTATTAATATAATAAAAAATATTAGCTTATTTTCAATTCTATTTTACTTCAGCGTTAAACATGTTCACATCTACTCCATTCATTCATTAAGTCCCTGGTCCCCGATGTTATATTAGTGGTTAACTAGTAATATTAGCGATTTATAATAGCTTTTAAATTTGTTTATTGAAATGATAAGTCTTATCCCAAGTCCTTTGGGAAATTCAGATTTTTTTTTCTATTTCAAAAATAAGATACTACTATTGCTTTCTTACCTTGCTCTTTAATATTCAAACATGATAGCTTACAAATGAACCTCAGAAACGTTATGAGTACACGGGGAACAGAATGTCAAAATGCGTTAGATGAGCCACAAGACTATTACTCTAATTACTTTGGGTCTTAAATTCTGGTAAATAGTTTCTTGATTGGCTCAGGTTTTTATAAGCCCTTTTGATCTGATGTTCCTGAGATGGTGCCCCTAAGGGAAGAAAACACTCCAAAATTAATATAAACATGTATAATTATGGCTTGACAGTCATCCAGAGGCATGGAGCAAGGAAAAGTGAACTGGGCAAAATAATACATCCAGAAGTAAAGGGATTGGAGTGCAGAAACTTGGAAAGCAGAGATATTGCTGCTCTTCCCATTCATTTTTCTAAAAAAATAGAAGTTACATTTTAAAATATGGTAGCAAAAGAGGGACCTCAAAATTAGATGGGCTCTTACCAGTGCTAGCACACAAAGCAATACATAATGAACAAGAACTCAGTAATATTTGTAAATTGCATTTGTAGATTGATTATTAAAAAGTTCTCTTGTTTTTCAAACTTACATTTGCGTATATGTTTTTCAGTGCAGTTTTGTAGTTGCTCCCATGAAGAGATCTTCTATTTCCATATTCTTGACACTCCTAGGTGTTCTGCTTTATTTTGACAAAAGGAATGTGGTCATCACGATGTCTCATTACCAAGTCTAACCCTCTGAACTTCTACCTCTTCCTTTAAAACAAACTCAGGTCACCTGCTGTTGGGAAAATTAGGTGCACCTATTCCTAAACCTGAATTGCAGTTGAATGCAGCTGCTGACCCACTGAGAACTAAAATAGTTGGGTAACTGAACCCAAGCTAATACTTCAACCCCACAACTGTGGGCTAGTGAATGGGTATTGTGTTAAGTCATTGCACTGATATAATCAGTGACCATTGAGGTGAGCCAAGGAATTTCTTAATAGTCCTACTGGAGCGCAGTGTTAATCTATACTGAAAGGTACAAGAATTGGATCTTCCAACAGTGATAGAGAAATTAGCAAAACCTTAAAAACTTGTATAACTTAATCTTCGGTAAAGGCCAAGGTTAAGTTTTAAATCTAGCAAGAAATTAAAGGGAAATTAGTAATTTATACAGAAGCTGGTCACACAGAATACAAAAAATAATTTCTTTTGAAACTGAGTAGAAAACAGGGTGTCCAGAGGTCAAAAAAGCTCTCAGTTTGGGCAATTTTATATCCTTCATTTTGATGGTTCTAAGGGTGACTGTAATCTCACCGAGAAACTACACAGAGCTAAACTCGGAGGCAACAGGCAGATTTCACTCACTAAAGCTGATGGACAAGGAAGGCACAAGAAAGAGAACAAGGTAGTGCAGAGGTTTAGTTCCACATGGAGCTGATAAGAGACTTTGGTGTTCTCCATCTGTCATCAAATCTCATCCCCATTTTCTTCCTTTGTGCCTCTCACACTGCAAAGTTTCTTGTTAAATGGTGTATGTTTAAAAGCAAGATGTGATAAGTAAGTCTTCATTCATGGACATTGTGCTATTTATTTAAATACAAAGGGATGGCATAAATAATGAAAAATGCAAAAGAGTTATAATTTCATCTTTGGGATCTTTAGAATGACCCATTAAGGAGGCTCATTGTCGGGGTATGTGTCTAGATCCCCAGTCTCCCAAATAGGTACATGGCAAAGGCCCAAAGGAATGAGAAAAGTGGCATGATCTTTAGGGCTGCAGGGGGACTAAAATCCTTGGCAGAGCTCATAACTCTGTTAGCTGGCCAACCAACTGACCCCGGGAAGCCCGTATTTAATCAGAACAAGCAAGGAGTTGGGGCTCAGGATTTAGCTCAGTGGCATAAGAGCCTGCCTGGCAAGTGCGAGGTCATGAGTTTGATCCCAGGTATCACACACACACACACACACACACACAAGAACAAGCAAGGAGTTGAGTGGAAAATGCAGGAAACTGAGCAGGATTTTGGGAGGGGTTCAAGGACTCCTCAGAGCAACAGACAATGCTAATTAAGGAAAATGATTCAGAAAGTCTGCAGGTGGCCTCAGCTGTGACCTCTCTTGCCCCCTAAATTGTCTCCTCGTTCTCAGTTCAGCCATTCCCGGGCCACATCACAACCCCACACATGTATTCAGCTTCAAAAGCTCCAACAGCTCATGGATTTGGGTAAATAGCATCAAGCTAATGAATACTGTACAGAATGTTTAACCCATACTCTGCATACAGTCCCATTTGGAGTATTTATCTTGTTTTCCAGACAACAAATTTTTAAAAAGATTGACAGCACCTTGCACACACATACACAGACTATTCAGATCTTGAAATATCTAACATTGAGAGAAATAGAAAAATTTAGTATAAAAACTAACAACCAAAAAAGTAATGGTTATGCTCTCGAATATGTGAAAGGTCAGAAGTGTGGCTAAAGATCTGAGCATCTCATCTCTGTTGGCAAAAGATACAACGCAGAGGAACCGATTGCCTGCTGCAGAGGGCAAAGCTGGAGAATGGAGAGAAATCTAAACTTTAAAACAAAAGTGAAGTTTTGACTTTGATTATGTTTTAAAATTGGAAACAAGTTTACATCAACACTATCGTAAGACTTGAAGTTTGATGACATACATTTAACTTGAAATATCAAGGGGTCTGTCAGTTTGTCATGCAAGACAGAGAAAGCACCAACCAACATACAGGATTTAGAGAAGAAAATAATGGCACTTCTTGACTGCATCATGAAATACTTTTTTGGAATTTTCACACATGCTTTTATGGTTTATAAAATAATGCCTTTTTAGCATATGCTTATTATCTTTTGAATTCACTTAATCAGTGAATAGCAATACAAGAGACACAATTGTGTCTTTCAAATCATGCGCATTGTTAAAACTAATTTTCTTACCAAAATACAATAAGCACTTGGCAAAAAATCATTGAGGATCCTTTTGTATCATTTTATTTAAACATACACTCTAATATTTTGACATTTTTCTTTAAACTTATTGGGCATTATTTAGAATAATTGTATTCAGATTGAAACATAACAGCTTAGTAGCACCAACAAGCATCCCAAATACTAAAGAAAACACACATTGAATAGAGGTATTAATATCATTAGGTGGTATTCTACAAAAAAATTCAAGTATTAATATTAAGACCATCACAGGCTGATTCTCACTTTTAATATTCAGTATTCTTCAGTATTTCTTCCTCATATTCTTGAGGTTGAATGTTGACAGTAATGAAACAGAATCTTCAGAAGAAAAGCATATTAAACTAGGATGCTGGTCCAACAAAGAAAACAAGCCATCCATTATTTAGGTTTTAAAAATATTTCAAAAGGACTTTCTTGTTTGACCCTTAAATAAACTGGAGGTCACTCTTCTGGGTGAGGAAATACATAGTACTATTTGTAACTTCCCTGGTTTTTTTGTCAGAGTATCTTTTATTTTTCATACTTGATGAGCAATTTGATTCATTTTATTTGAAGAGAATCATGTTTACCAGAGAACAAAAACAACTTATGCTGGAAAATTAATTTGCTTTTTGTAGAAGCAATAATATTCTGTGAAAAGTTGCAAGGAATTACTGTGACTCCACTGAGGAACAGAAGCCCTGCGAGCATAACATGCCCATGGCTTTCTCAAGAGTTACCTGTTTTCAATGCCAATCAAGGTGCTAAAGCTGTATGTTTTAGTTGCTTAGAATATTCATGAAATGGAAATAAGCTGTATTTCATTTTATCTTTTTTGAGATATCTTTTCAGCCTCAGGAATAATTTTCTAGCAGAGAAAAAAATCTTATTTTCTTTATAATTTCAAAATTTTTCATAGGTAGGATTTTACTAACTTTCAGTGGGGTGATAGAACAGCATTTTGGCTTGAAGAGTTTTTTAAAAAGCAATCATTATTAACATCACCATTTATTCTTTGGGCAGTGGGTTCATCATATAGATCCATTTTGTACTTAAAAGTTTCCAAATTGCTACCATAGAACTTGAAAATTACACATATTTCCTGTGAAACTGACTATACTATATCCAAAATTATATTGGTACCATGCACAACAATTGTGCAATGTTTGGATAAAACTCATTTTTTCTTTAAGAAATCTAATGCTAGTTCTTTGAAGAAGACCATTTTGTAACCATTAGAAAAAATAAATAAGAAAACACAATCACATACCAAACATGAAAACTATATCCATACGTGACACCTAAAAATAAATAGCAAATTAACTCTTCTCTAATTCAAACACCCAGACCCTCACTTGGTTTACCTTCTCTCAGCTTTGGGAAAAGATTTTTAAAATCTAGAAGAGGCATATTATTTGGTTGATATTTCCTTCAATTACATGTTTAAAAAGCACAGAACAGATAATGATATATAAATATTGGGTTAATTATTTTATGACATTTTAAAATTACTTTGAATTTGAGGTCTCTGCTTTTGCTTCTATGTCTTTGTGTCTATCTTCCTATTTCTATTTTTTTATTATTGCCTGCAGGTAGATTTATAGGACACCTACTAATTGTCTTCAGGTTGACTCATGGGTCAGAAATTACAATAGCCCAAATTTAAACCTGAATTCCTTTTTTGAAGTCTAAATCACATTGAGACAAAGGAAATTTTCTCTGGCGGAGTCATTGATACTTTTACAGAAAGTTTCAATCAGTTGCAAATTTCATTTCTAAACAGAAATTCTTAGGATGTGAGGAAAGTATTGCATAAAGCAATCATGTCAACAGCAACGATTAGACAATGGCCTGATCAGTTGATGGACTGAGTTCCTTTTGTCCCCTTCCTTCCCTCGCCCCATGATTTCTCCTTCACCAGCAGCAATTTCATTGGTGTTTGGATATGCATATGATTAAAATCTAGAATACTGTTCTGTAATGTATGTTGAGCAGTAGGCTTAGATTTTTGTTATTGTGACATTCACTTATCACTGTGTTTACATCAGATCTAGCCCTATCTCTCTGAGTGTATATATGGTCTGTTATTTCTAAAAGATCAACCTATTCTATAGTATAGTTTACATAAAAATGCTGGTTTTGAAAGATGAATATATTAATTTCATTGCTACTATTACACAGAGTCACACAAATTTAGTGCCTTAAAACAGCACTATTTTGTTTTCTATTACAGTTTCAGAATGAAAATATCCAAACTGTGTTGACAGGGCTGCACTCCTCCAGAACAGAATCAGTTTCTTTGCCTTTTGCAGCTTCTAGAGCCAGAAGTAACCTTTGGCTGCTGGCTCCTTATTCCATCTTCACAATTAGCAATGTAGCGTTCTTACCTGCTTCTGTTTGACCTCAGATACTATCATCACAACTTCTGGTGTCCTTTCTTCCTCCTACGGCATCACTTGTGTTTATGTCTGACCCACCTACATAATCCATGCATATTGTCCTATGTGAAGACACTTAATCCAAGCTCTAGGTCCCTTGGCACATCAGGGACATAATCATGAATTCTGGAGGTAACTAACTGTGTGGGTATCTGTGGAAGCCTTTATTCCGCCTTACCACAGTTCCAGAAAACAAAACCAAAAAAATGCTTCTAGTTTTGACTACTGTCTTTGCCTTTACTCTTTAGGACAGGCCATGCTAATCCAAGTGCGTACAAAGATCCTGCATGTACTAATGCATCCCACTGGCTGCAGAGG